TAAATGGTGCTGGGAAAACTGGATATCCATATGCAGAAGAATGAAACTAGACCCTTATCTCTCACCATATACAAAAATCAAATAAAAATGGATTAAAGACTTAAATCTGAGATCTGAAACTATGAAACTACTAAAAGGAAACATTGGGGAAATGCTTCAGGACATTGGTCTGGGCCAGGACTTCTTGAGTAATATCCCCAGGGCACAGGCAACCAAAGCAAAATTGGACAAATGGGATGACATCAAGCTAAAAAGCTACTGCACAGCAAAGGAAACAATCAACAAAGTGAAGAGACAACCCACAGAATGGGAGAGAATATTTGCCAACTACCTCTCTGACAAGGAATTAATAACTATAGGAGCTCCAAGAACTTGATAGTAAAAAATCAAATAATCTGATTTAAAAATGGGCAAAGGATCTGAATAGACATTTCTCAAAAGAAGACATACAAATGGCCAACAGGTACATGAAAAAATGCTCAACATCATTAATCATCAGAGAAATGCAAATCAAAACTACAATGAGATACCATCTCACCCCAGTTAAAAGGGCTTTTAACAAAAAGGCAATAACGAATGCTGGTGAGGATGTGGAGAAAGGGGAACCCTTGTACACTGTTGGTAGGAATGCATATTAGCACAACCACTATGGAAAACAATATGGAGGTTCCTCAAAAAATTGAAAAAATTGAAAATAGAACTACCATATGACCTAGCAATCCCACCTGCTAGTTACATATCCAAAGGATGGGAATTCAGAACATGGAAAAGATATCTACACTCCTGTGTTTATTGCAGCACTACTCATGATAGCTGAGATATGGAATCAACCTAAGTGTTCATTGCTGAATGAATGGATAAAGAAATTGGGGTGCATATACACAATGGAATATTATATAGCCACAAAAAGAATGAAATCCTGCCATTTGAAACAGCATGGATGGAGCTGGAGAACATTATGTTAAGTGAAATAAGCCAAGCACAGAAAGACAAATCTCACGTGTTCTCACTCATGTGAGAGCTAAGTATTAAAAACAAATAGATTTCATGAAGACAGTGACGGTTACCAGAGGCTGGGAATGGTAGCAGAGGTAGAGGTGGGGGTGGATAAAGTGGGGGTGGATGGCTAATGAGTACAAAAATATAGTTAGATAGAATGAACAATATTTAATAGCACAACAAAGTGGCTATAATCAACAATAAGTTAGGGCATACTTTAAAATAACTAGAAGAGTGGAATTGGAATGTTCCTAACACAAAGAAATGATAAATGTCTGAGATGATGGATACCCAATTACCCTGATTTGATTAATTCACGTTATATGCCTGTATCAAAACATCACATGTATCCTATAAAGATATACAACTATTATGTACCCACAATAATTAAAAATAAAAAATCTAGCTAATTAACATAAAAAGACACATTGATAAGAGTTCTTCTCTAATGGGCCTCAGATGCACCTTTGTTTTCCACACCACAATTCCAGAAAAGGTACATTTCCCCCTGTATTCTGTAAAATAACCACGTAAGCACATGAGTCCTTCTCTCAGTGCTCATGTCATGGCTATAACTCAATTCGTGCCTCACTGCAGCCGTGTGCCAGGCCGTCTGCACAGATGGCTCAGCAACATACAGGTCCATTGACCTGACGAGAAAGGCCCACTTGGAACTCAGCCCCACCTGGACACTGGTGCTCAGCACTCACCAGGAGTCTTGTTCTTACTCTACAAACCTCTGATGTTGGAGGAGAAATAGAGCCAGATCCTTGGGGACACGGAAAGCCAAACATTTATATTCTATGCCTCCAAGGCCATCCATTCTTAAAGTGTGGTCTGGGGACCTCTGGTTATCCCCGAGACACTTTCAGGGGGCCCATGAGGTCAAAACTATTTTCAACATAATACTAAGATGTCACCTGTCTTTTCACTCACTTTCTTAGGACAGGTTCTTTTGGGTTCTCAATAATTTTTGAGTGTTTAAAGGGGTCCTGGGAGCACATAGTCTGAGAACCTCCCACCTGGATGCTGGTTCACTGCAGAGAACCAGAAATGGCAGGAACCAGCTGCTGGTCCCAGTCAGGGTGGCAGTGAGCCCATTACGGGGCAAGTAGTCTCATCTCAGTTTCCCCAACTGTAAAGTAAGGGGTGGGTGGGGTTGGACTAACTTGACTGTTTTCGACTTTATTTCTAATCAGAGCCTCTTTTCAATTAAAATCTTCCCCAGAAACCCAAAATGTGTCCCAGGTTAGAGCACAGGTGCTCAGGTGAGGGGAGACAGGAGCTCCACCCCTACCCCTCTCCACTCCAACTGCCTCTTCTCTTGGAGCAGAGTTTGAAATCATCTACTGACCCAGATCCTAAGGGCCACTTGCTCTGTTTGTCTGTGTTCCAAGCAACAGAAGGGCAGTGGCCCCAGGACAGTCCTTACCTGCTTTGGCTGACCTGGGCGTCACAGGGAGTGCTGGCGGAGCCCGCGGCAGGCAGCGGCAGTCTGGCACCCGGCTGGCGGTCAGAAGCTGTCCTCCTGACGAAAGGCAGAGGGTTGAGGGCACACAGGGCCACTCTCCTCTGTGTGTCCGTCCTCAGCCGAGGCCCTGAGCTGCTCCTCCTGCATCCTGCAGGGCCCCGAAGAGGGCCCCCAGCCTCTGGTGGGGTCGGTGGGTGGGCTGCTGAGAGTGGCGATTTAGCTTCAAACGGAGCGGAGGCAGCTGGGCAGAATATAGAACACGTATTCCCAGAAACTTTGGCTGTGTCTCCTTGACTGTCTTCAGAGTCTCTTGTTTCCTTGTGCTCCTGAGACGGGGACACTGGGGGGGACAGGGAGGGAACAGAGGAAGGGGAGCTTGCTTCTGGGCGCTGGGTGGGGGGGCTGGAGGCCTTGTGCTGGCGTGGTGGGGAAGTTCGATTCTTGGTTGTGGGTGGGCTTAGCACCCTGGGGCTCACAGGTGGGCTGGGGGCTCCAGAGCTGAGTGGTGGGCTGGGGGACCCCTGCACAGTGGGGGGACTTGACTGGGCAGGTCTGTGAGAGGAATGCAGGCTGGGGGGCCTCTTGTCTGCTTGGGGCACCCAGTGTGCCCTTGTGGGAGAGGCCTTCCTGGCTGTCGGGGGGCTTCTCTCTCGGCTCTGCCTTGCAGCCTCGGGAGAACGTGGCCCTCGTGTTGGTCTGGCCGGGCTGGGATCTGAGGTCCTGTTTTGCCCAGATGTGTGGCTGGAGTGGTGCCAGGGCATGGCCTTCCGGGGCTGCTTGTGGAGGCTTGTGGCCTTCTCTGCCTGTGCCTGGCTCGGGGCCCCATCCTCCCCCTCTGGGTTTTGGCTGGTGGCTGGCGGGTGGTTGGGGTCCAAGGCAAGCTTTCTGGGATCGCAGCCGCTCTTGCTGCTCCCTGGTCCTGTGCTGTGGGGCCTGGCGAGGTTGGTGTTGCTCTTGTTGGGCAGTAAGTCCACGGGGCTCATGGAGGCTCTCAGCTTTGGGGAAGCCCATGTTCTCCTGGCAGGGCCAGCTCCTCCCTGCCCTGGTACCGGGGTCCCTTCGGGGGAGCTCTCTGCTGACTTGCTGCTTTCTGGGAACTCCAGAGAAGTGAATGATTTGTCCATGAGGACTTCCAGAGGCGGTGGAGGGAGGTGCTCTGGGTCCCCCTCCACTTCACGGTTGATGTCTGCACTCTTGGGTGCTTCTGTTGTAGGCACAGGGGGAAAGATAGGTGCTAAGGGCCTCCAGCCTGTGCCCACTTTGAAAGGTTCTCTGCCTAGTGCTGGAGAAATTTGGGGCTTAGGATACAAAGGGGCAAGCCCCCTGTAAATGGGAAACCTAGGTGGCATGATGGGGACCCCCCACCTCTTAAGGCCGGGGCTTGACCCAGAGTTCTTGGAATCACCCAGTGTCCTCACGCTCTCAGTGGGGCTGAAAGTTTCAATAAGTTTCTTGACTGACGTTCTGGGGGGACAGTCCCTGTCCTTGGCCCTGGGAGCCTCATTGTCCTCATCTGATGGGGTGGCATTTGGAAGCTTCTCTTTCCCCAGCCAGGGCTGTTCGCCCTCAGAGTGGGGACTGCATTTCTGCAAAATGCTCTTGTGCTGACTAGGCAAAATGCTGAAGTTCTTGGTGAGGGAGGCCCTGAGCTTGCTAGTGGTGCTGCTCGGCCCGACCTTGCAGTTGCTGGGCCACAGAGCCGCCGCTCTGGGCTGCAGAATCTGGTCCTGGCTCTGCCCCTGCCCTTTGGCACCCAGGGCATAAAACACCTCCAGCCTCTGACTGAGGTCTCTCTGGACCCTCCGCAGCTCCTGGAGGGTGGAGTCCCCCACCTGGTTCTGAATACATGACTCTGACAGGGACCTCCTCTGCCTCTCGGGGGCCCATCTGCTACCACTGACTGTGCTAGGTCTTGGGGGGACCACTGACCTTCCCTCTTCCTCCTCAGCCCAGTCCTGGTACCCAGAGGGCACGGGGACAAACTTGATCCTTTCACTGATGGCTTCCTTCATCTTCAGAATCATTTCCTGGGCTTGGGGGCTCCTCAGCCTCCTGGGGCGGGGCTGCAACGGGCTTTCCTGGTCAGCAGGTGAAGACTTTGGCCTGGAATGTGGAGCCTTTTCCTGCCATGCACACAGATTCAGGCTGCTAACTTCATCTTCTTCCTCCTCCGGGCTGCTGTCCTCAACTTCACTAAAGGATGGAGCATCCAGCGACCTGGAGCTTTTAGGAAGATGTACTTCTGCAGGGACCCCGATCCCGAAGGAATCGCACAGAGTACTTTTGCCCGGCTCCAAAGGCCTGGAGGTGTTGCTCCCTGGGCCTGCGCTGGAGGGGCCCGGGCTCCGTGCTTCTCCCTGTGCTGCCGGCTGAACCTTTGCCATAGGAGGCCTTGAGAGTGGGCAGTCCTGGGGCCTGTCTGAGCCCATCCAGCACGGACTGTGCTGCCAGGCATGTCCC